GAATAAAAGTTAACTCTGGGCAGCAAAGGCTTTTCACAGATGGTATCCAGGAGGGAACAGGATGTAAAACCTGCCAGCTGCTCCTGTGCTTTACTCCTTCCATATTGCAGTAGAAATTGGGGAAAAAACAGAAAACATTTGCTGAGCACATCGAGATGTCACAAGAAGGCCTGAAACCAGCCTTGGGAAAATGTTAATTGCACAAACATGTGATATGTGTGTTTAGAGCAGTTTAATGCTTGTACAAAGTGTTATCTTAAATTCCAGTCAGAGCAGTGGCAACAGAGGGGACACATGTGAGCAAAACTCCCAGAGGCTTGTGGCCACTCGTACAGCCCTGCCCCAGACAGGAAAAGGGAATTCCTCCACACCTTTCTCTTCCCTAAAGATGAGATGGTTCTCATTTCTCACTTTGCTTTTGCAGTGTTGATTTGGTGAGATGGGTCCCAAAGGGTTGGTAGAACTCCGTGGGGATTAAACTGCATGGCAGTGGTATCCACACTGAGCAGAGCAGCATTTGCAGCGCTGCTGGCAGCCTGCAGAGCACAGGCAGGTGCAACCCTGGAGTTATTGCACTCAGGTGAGCCAGTTATTTAGTAATGGTTGATAATGAAGCTCTTTTCCTTTCAGTCTCCTTGGAAGTGATTGGCACTGGCTGCAGTTGCAGGGAGGTTGCTGAACTAGGTTGGCATCTGGCTCAGGGCAGTGAATTCCCTGATTCTGCAGACTCTAGGAGATGAAATACTGGCTCCATTGAGAGCAGGAGACTACAGCCAGAATTTTAACCATCTGTGTTTTCCAGGAGCATGGGAATTATTGCTCTTCTAGGCACATATTTTTCAGAAATGGAGACAATGGGCCACAAATCTCAGTAAGGCTGAGACTGGGAATGCTGATTGAATGCACCACATTTGCATTAATAGATTGTTCATTCACATTCCTACCATTGCTCTGGGCTTGGATGAGGGGAAGGAAGGAACAAAAGGGAAGGAGAAAAGAGGCACAGAGCTGACTTCCCCACCTTCTCTGCCATTTGCATTGTCCTAGCAGAAATGAGGGGTTTGGGATGCATCTGATTCCTGTTATATGCACATGAGTGCACTGTTGCTTCTGTGTTCTCCTGCCTGTGTTTAGAGCACATTCCAAATAGAAAATCATCCTTCCCAAATTGAGTTTATTAACCTGCATTCTTGCTAGGTCAGTAGTATTTTCCTTTGGTGTCCTTAAATCGATACCTAATGTATGTGCACTGCCACAGAATGATTAATGTGTGTACAAACATGAAAAAATTGTCTTCAATGTCAGCAGCCCAAAGTGTCATTTATCGTGACATTCATTTACCAAAAGATGGGCTGATGTCTTCAACTGATTGCCCTGCAACACATGGATGAGGAGTGGGGGCTGCTTCCTCATTAGGAGTGTATCTTCCATCCCTGGAAGTGTCCAAGGCCAGGTTGGATGGGGTTTGGAGCACCCTGGGACGGTGGAAGGTGTCCCTGCACAGTGCAGGGGGTGGCACTGGATGGGCTTTAAGGTCCCTTCCAACCCAAACCATCCTGGATCTCTACTCATCATTAGAACTTCTTGCTCAGCCTTCTTGATTGAAGTGTTTGGGATATACAAAGCACAGAGAAAATAGTATCAACTTCTTAAAAAATTAACTTTAAAAATAGTTTTTAAAGTGTTTGTAGTTTAACTAGACTGAATTGGCTTATGTGGTAATGCCTCTAAAAATGATTATAGAAAGTTCAGGAAATGCTGGCTTAGGAGTTGATAATTGATGTTTTGAAGAGAGCAGCTCTGTAATGGAAAGGTTCTGGGCTGGGAGATGAAAGGGTATTTTCTAGTGGCTCACTGCTGCAGGAGGTGTGCCAGCACTCTGGGACCTGCTCCTGGATTTATAAACAGATCTCCAAATTAATAGTGATTAAGGCCTGGATTTGGAGTGCTCTTTATAATGCATCATGATTGTTTTGTGGTTGTTTGTTAGCTAAAGCAAAGGGTCCTCCTCCACAATGGAGGCTTTTAAGCAGTGCAAATTGCCAATAATTGTAGAATAGGAGAAAATTACTCTTTAGGACAAAATTATAGGCTAGGTTAAAATGTATATTTTAAAACCACACAGGACTATGACGAAATACAGGTTTTAGTGGCATTTAAGATGACTTGGAAAATGAACTGTAATTTCATTTCTAGTGAGTAATGAAACCATCTTGAATAAAGCTTATTTAACCTCAGTAGAGCACCTGCACCCAACAGAAGGCACAAGGTCTGTCTTGTCCAGGAAATGAACAGTACTTGTAAGGAATTAAAATTAAAGGATATCTGAGCTGTATATGAAAAATTGCAGGGCTTCATTCCTCCAGGAACATTCCTGCTTGTGCTTGAAGTAGCCAGTATCAGTGGGAGCTGCTGGGAGCAAAGAGATGGCAAAGGAGAGGTGAAAACAGAAGTCACAGGGTCACCTGGCTGAAGGAGGGGACCCAGGATTCCCTCCCAGGATGGGAAAAACTGGCTTAATATGCAGGGCTCTTAATAAATGAGAATACTGAGAGAGATAAGAATCAGAGGTAATTATGAACATATAATGGGTTGTGTCAAGAAGGAGATTTTCAGAAAGGACAGATGTTCAGAGACTGGAGTTCAGAGGCTCAGGGTTAACAGCCTCATCAGCTGTAAGAACAACTTATTTACCTACTGAATTAGTGAGTGTGGTTAACGAGGAGACCTTGTTAGCCTTGCTGTGGCCTTCATGGTCTCACAGGAAGAATTAAGTAATGCTCCAGACTGACTAATGATGGAACTTCTGAACACAGTGTGCAAATCAGGCAGGTGCAGAGATACCTTGGGATTGTGCTGGGACAGAGGGATGGGTGATTCAGGAGAGGAAAAGGTTACTTGTGTTCTAGGATTGATTGTGCAGAGCCACTGAGATGGCTCCATCTTTTGGGAAGATCTTTTCAATAGGCATAGAAGCAGTTTTGTAATATTTCTGTGGATGTTTGTGATCTTAAATCACTCTAGGCACTGGGGTTTGTCTTTCTCCCATGACTTCTTGGTGGGAGGGCAGGAGGCATTAGGGGTCGCTTGGAGCAAGGGAGGTTCTGACTGGGTTTAAAGAGGGAGTTCTGCTCCATGAGGTACAAGAGGTTGCCCAAGGGTTGTGCAGTCTCCATCCCTGGGGGATTGTTTGAGGTCTGACTGGACAAATCCCTAAGTAACCAGCTCTAACCTTGTAGCTGATTCTGCTCTGGCTAGGTCCCTTCCTTCCAAAATTATCCTAGCATTCTGCATCTGTAAAGGTGAATAGGGTGTTAGGGGAATGAGGGAGAGAAACTAAAGATTGTAGCTTCATTAAGCAGAAGGAAAGTTGAAAGAAAGAAGTTGGATTTTTTGTTCCTGTGAATACCTTGGAGGGACTGATTGATAAATATCAAAGATGCAAAATAATGCCAAAACAAGGTCAAGATCAAAGGACTGCAAGTTGGTTGGAAGTGTACTGGGAGGGGAAACTAGAAACAGAAAGTTTCTTGGAGGAATGAAGTTATAGAAGGAGTCCCCAGGGGGGACTCAGAGAGAGAAGAAAATATGTAACTGGAGATGAACCGGGTTATGGAAGGAACTTGACAGGACAGAAGGGATTTATATGTTAGGATATATAAATCCTAATCCTAAATGTTAGGATATATGAATCCTCTTCCAGTCTGGCTGTCCTGCAGGATCAGTCCTACTGCTGCATTCCCAGTGCATTTGTGATATGTATTAAGTGAGACTTGTGAAAATAGGGGGTTGCACTGTAGATTTGATCATTCCCCTGTGCAGGATGCTTAGGATGGGGTGACTGTGGCTGGTTGCCCATCCAGCTGTGCCCTCACTCTGCTCCTCAGCAGGATGGAGAGGAAATAAGATTAAAGTTACTGAGTCAAGATGGGATCACTCCCAGTTACTGTAATGGCAGAACAGCCTTGACTTGCGGAAAATTAATTTAATTTCTTGACAACTAAAGTAATTTGAGTGGTAGGAAAAAACCAAACTAAAGTACTCTCCCTGCCTGCTCCCATGTCCATGGTCAGCTCTCTGCCCTCATTCCCAATTCTTCAGCCTCGCGACCTACCCTGGTCTCCCCAGGGTAACACTCAAAGCTGCCCTTCCTCCTCTGCCTGCTCCCATGTCCATGGTCAGCTCTCTGCCCTCATTCCCAATTCTTCAGCCTCATGATCTACCCTGGTCTCCCCAGGGTAACAGCCAAAGCTGCCCTTCCTCCTCCTCCTCTAACCTGCCCACTCCAGGACTGTACCTCACACTTCCATCACTGCTGTCCTGTGTCTTCCCAGTCTTGGGTATGCTTCATGGATGTGCCCCCAGCTTCACTGGCTGCCTCAGCTGTGGCTCCATGGGACAGCTCCAGCTGTGTCCACAGCCTCTTCCCACAACGCCCCCAAAGGTTTGGCCTCCCCAGCCCAACTGTGAAGGCATTAAGTGGGCTCTGGGTACATTTTTATGGAAAAGGTGACACGGGTTGTGGAGCACTGCTGGGTCAGCTCTGGTCTCAGACACACTAAAGAATGTTCGTATGCAAGTATTTATCTCAATATTTACCTTGTGGCTCTGTACAGAGGCTTTTGTAGCTGGAGGTGGTAAGTGAAGGTGTTGTGTAGGCTGCATTGTTGAAGCTGTGGCTGTCCCATCCCTGGCAGTGTCCCAGGCCGGACAGAGCTTGGAACAGTGGAACGTGTCCCTGCCCATGGCAGGGGGTGGGACCGAATGAGCTTTAAGGTCCCTTCCAAGCCAAACCATTCCAGGATTCTGTGATTATTGGGTCTGTTTGCCTTTACACCATCCACGTTTAGCATTGTCCTGTCAGCTGTTAAGGATTTTAAGGAGTTGGAGAGCAGCTTAACTCTTCAAAAACTACATTCTTGAGTCTTGACTTGAACTTCCAAGCTTTGGTGTCGCGATCAGAACATCTCAAATTTGTTGTTCTTTCGGTTTCCTCGCAGGTCTGCCCAGGTTCACGAGCCAGCCGGAGCCCACCTCAGCGCACCGGGGGGACAGCGCCGTGCTGGGCTGCGAGGTGACGGCCGAGCTGGCGCCGCTGCTGCGCTGGGAGCGCGAGCGCCAGGCGCTGGCCCCGGGGCCGCGCGTGCTGCAGCTGCCCGGGGGGGCCCTGCTGCTCACCAACGCCTCGGACACCGACGCGGGGCTCTACCGCTGCGCCCTCGACACCGGCGGCACCCCCAAGTACAGCGACGAGGCCGAGCTCAAAGTCCTGCCAGGTACCCGTGGGAGTCGCTTCTCTGAACCCGACAGAAGCAGAGAAATGAATGATCTGAACAGTTCTTATCTCGTGCGCTGCTCCTGTGTTGTGCCCAAGTAGAATGCAGCGTGGAGGTTGTTTACCCAAAGTGATGGGGTTTTGTTTCCTTGGCCGTCAGGGCCGAGTGCGTGTGCAGGCTGTCAGTCAGCAGACAGGCACGAGATGTTGGGCAGTTGAGTTGAGTTGGGTGCTTGTGCAGGCAGATTCAGTTTAGATGTAATATATTGTAATATAGTATAGAATAATATCATATAATAAAGTAATTAATTAGCCTTGTGATATCCATGGAGTCAGATGCATCACTTTCTCCCCATCGTTTCTCCCCATCATCGGGGTTGCCCTGCCTTTACTGTAGGTTCCCACTGCTGCTCTCTGGACTGAGCTGCTCCAGGCCCTGAGCTCTTCAGGGGATGGAGCCTGTGAAGACACTCACAGGCTGCCTTCCTGTTTTATTCGTTCAGCTTTTAAGGCATTTTGGGGAAAAACATTTTTAAAGCTGCCAGTAATACATTTCCATTGGGATGCAAAGGAGGAACTGATGTTTTTTTGAGTATAAAAGTTTGGGGACTTCTGCATTTTTTCAGGTTGAATCCCCTGTTTCAAACCCTGTGGGAGCTTCACAAAGAAATTGGTGCTTGGTCTGTTGCTCTTGGGATGCTGAAGCTGAGGTGTTTTTAATTCTTCCCATATTCAGGAAGTTGTGACCATCTAAACATTGGGACTTTTAGCGAAGTCTCCAACTCAGGGTCTTTGTCCACAGGCCCTGAGCTCTTCATAGTGGTTGGAAACAGGCTGGAGACACTCACAGGCTGCCTTCCCATATTTAATGGTTCAGCTTTTAAGACATTTTGTGGAAAGACTTCTTTAAAAAAAAACCCACTAATATACTAATACTAATTGTGACATGATACAGTATGGGAATTGACTGTTTCTGTGAGTATAAAAGTTTGGGGATTTCTAAGTTTCTCAGGTTGAATCCCATGTTTCAAACCCTGTGGAAGCTTCACAAAGAAATTGGTGCTTAGTCCGTTGCTCTTGGGATGTTTAAGCTGAGGTGCTTTTAATTGTCCCAATATTCTGGAAATTCTGATTGTCTAAGCAATGGGACCTTTTGGGAAGTCTCCAACTCTCAGAGGGGGTGACATTTTATTTTGGAAGGTTCAGCTTTGCCTGTTGTGCTGAAATGTTAAGATATTTTTGTTAGAACAGAAGTCACTGCTGATGTAAACTGTTGGCACATTCAGTGTGTTCTGTTCCCAGTGACACCAGCAGCTGTTCTAATACAAAGGTTTGAAAAGTGACCAAAAATAGGACAGGAATGTGGGTCGTGCTTTCCCAAACTATGGAAATACAGGCTGTGTTTCATATGGGGTTCCTTAATTGTTCCCAGAGCTGTCTCTTCTGGATTAGTCTCCATGTTGGAATTCTCATTGAATTGTTACTCTTGGAAAGCTGCTGGAGGGAGTTGCTGAGTTTCCACCTCAGGAATCTCTCAGGGTGAGGTCAATGTCATGGTTGCCCTGACCTGGTGTGGGCAGCAGGTGGGCTTGAGGCAGGTGGGGGCACCTTCAGGGGTCCCTTTCAAGGAATAGTTGTTTCTTGTGGCTATGGCCCTTCTCTACTTAGAATACTAAATTATTCTGTAAAATACCCCAGTTTTTACAGTTATAGCTCTCTTTTGAAATTGGTATGTTGGAAATGAATCATGCTTAAAGTAGGGCTGTTTTTTTCAGTTCTTCAGCCTTTCCAGAGCCTTGTCTCTTCTCCAACTAAGGATACAGGGTTTGAAGAAAAGCACTTTTGGAAAAGATGCTTGATTGCATTCCTGTAGTTTGGATTGCCTTCATGTGTCTGCAGCCATTCAAATGCTAAGGATTTTGCTGATTTTTTTTTTTTAACTGAAGATTTCTTGAAAACTTCCATATTGCACTGATCTTTTGAATCCTTTTTGGCTCCAGCTGTAGTTTCCTTGCTTTTGTAATGCTTTGCTGAAAGTGATGAAATAGAGCTGTGTTAGGGAATTTAAATGATGCTGTTTCTTTGCTCCATCATGAATCTGAAAGTGTCGATCGTGAAGTTTGGTAAAATCCTTCCCAGCAGGCTTTTTTTTAGAAAGTGGGATTAAGCTGTTGAAGGGAAAGCTCCCTTAGTCTTGAGCAGCCCCCTAATTGATTGTTTGGCCTGAGAAATATTTGAAAGAAGGATTTGAATTAATCTGTTCTTTATTCACTTTATTCCTCTTTTAAATGGTTATCTGATGTGGGGCTGACAGTGAACCCACCACTGCTTCCCAGGCTTTGAAACACACCCAGCACACTCCTGCATCCCAGAGATTTGCATCCTCAGACAGTGTTCTACTGCTCAAACATTCTGCTTTGGCTGATACCAGGCTGCCACTGAGCAGAAAGATTCATTTCTGAGCTCTGCCACTTCACAGTGGGTGCTTTCACACATAGGACTGCAAGGGAAACATGTCACTTAACTTTGGGATCCAGTTGCCATTTACCTGAGAGCTGAACTCCCTTCTGGGAGCTGGGAGCAGTCGGAGTTGTGTCTCCAGGGAATCATCCTGGCTCCTCTCCGTGTGAGGATGGCTGCCTGGAGATGTTGTATCCCTGCTTTGCAGCCTGGCTGGCTCCACGTGCTGCTCCAGGTCCCTGTCACTTCCTTATTCCCCATGCACAGCAGGGCAGGCAGAGCAGCTCCTGCCAGGAATGTGGGCAGAGCTGCAGGGATGGGGCTGGCTGATCCAGGACTGCTCAGAGCTTGGCTGCCTCTGCCTGTGCCAACTCCCACACAGGATTTCCACCTGTTCTGCTTCCCCCAAGTGTCCTGGCACCTCCTCGTGTTGTGCCTCGGAGCTTGTGTGTGCCCTGAGCTCAGTGCTGTGAACACTCAGTTTTATTTTTAGTGTTTTGAGCTGAAGAACACCAAAAACAACAACTTCCTGAAATCCCTGCGAGTATCACCTCAGGCCCACGTGAGAGAGCAGCCAGATATGTTGTGATGAGATGCAGAACGTGCTTCATTCAGGGAGCAGGAGTAGAGTAGGTACAGAATACTCTGTCCCCATTTTAGATGGCCAGAAATAGTTTGAGGCTTTGTCCAGTTGTGGAGCTTTGCTGCCGTAACACCTTGGAACACCCCTCAGAGTGCTGGCCATGCAGGGTGAGCAGGGATTACCCAGCCCAAAGTGCAGCTGCTCTGTGGAGCTCACTTTGTCTGGGTACAGTGCAGGGCACAGACAGAGGGTACACCCTGTATCAGGGACTGAATAAACATGTCAGTGCTTCATTTTAAGGGTGGGAAGAAAAAGTAACAAACCCCTCTCAGCTTAATCCAATGTAGAACCACTTCAGAGGATTCCCTGTTTTCATAAGGATGGAAAGCTGTGGTGGGGCATTTTTGTTTTGTTACTTCAGCATGCACATTCCCTGGTTGTTGTATTTTACTCAGGGTCAGTCACTGCTGCAATAATTTCATTTTCCAGCTTGTAAAAATACTTCCTCAGGAAGCTCCCTGATGAAGCCCAAGGCTTGCTGGACAAACTCAAACCTGCTCCTTTCTTTCCTAAATCTCTGCTACCTGGTGGAAGTTCCAGTTTCAGGACTGTAATTTTGACCTGGAATAGTTTCCCGGGGAGTTGGAAGAGTGAGAATCCCAAAAGCGGGGAATCACTTTGCATGTCTGGAGGAAATGTTAACAAGGGTGGGAGAGGTGGGGATGGAATCCTCCAGAGGGGCAGGAAAGGAATTCGAGGTTTCATTGTGATTTTCTTTGGCCGGGTGGGTTTTGCTTCAGAGGTTTTTACCATGCGCACGTTGTGCTTTTGCGCCTGGTGCCAGTGTCCCGTCCTGTTCGCAGATGCAGAGGAGCCGCAGAGGCTGGTGCTGCTGAAGGCGCCCTCGTCCCTCAGCCGCCTGCCCGGCCAGAGCGCCGTGTTCCCCTGCGTGGCTGCCGCCTTCCCTCCTCCCCTCGTCAGGTGGACAAGGAGCGGGGAGGAGCTTCCCACTGATGGGTGAGTAACGGCTGACAGCCCTGCCCTTGTCTGATGGCAGGAATCCAGCCGGAGTCAGGATTTGGGATTGGTGCACACCTTCCTTTGGGCTTGAAACCTGGAGGGCAGAGGCTGATCCCAAATGCTGGAGGGCTTCAGGACTCGGTGTTGGGATAAGGCAGGTGGTTCAGGAGACTTTGGAACAGTCTCAGGGTATTTTTTTTGCAGCTATTTGAAGCCAAGAAATCTTGTCTGAAGCAGGGAGGTTATTAGGAATAGATTACTTGATTACTTTTGGACTGGCACTGGAGTAGAAGCAGCAATCGAGGGAATAAGGGCACTACAGGAAAAGGAGGATGACTTGGGGTATTCTGAGTGTGAAGCCCTGCACCCATTCTTTCTGCAGTGGAAATGTCCACTCTGTGTCAGAATGTCACAAAGGAATGGAAGAATAAGTGTTTAAAGCAAAACAAAACATTTTCTTATTAAAATAGAATAATAAAACCATAGGCATGATGGCAAAAATCAGTGAGCTTTCAGAGATGTGTAGAGTGAGAACTTATACATTGTAATTGCTGGCATAGTCGGAATAATGTGGTAGGAAATCCATATTAAAATATCAGAATAAGTCTTATCAAGGCCATTTTTGTCCATAGAATGAACATGCTTCCTAGAACCAGGATTTCAGACAGTTATTTGAATGTTTTCCATGTCCCTCAAAGTCAGCAGTGAGATTAATGGGGAGCCAAGTTAATCATGGAACAAGGAGAAGTAAATTGTGACACAGAAAGCAGCCGGAACAATGCTCTAGTCTCTGCAGCACCAGGGATATAATATATCTCTTTTTTGGCAACTCTTAAATTAAAAGAATCCAGGGGCTGGTAATTTGAACTGTCTTTGATGGGAGGCTGCTGTGGGAAATGACAAACAGCCCCTGAGAGATGGTGCTGTGTCAGTGTGAAGGCACATGATTTAAATTCAGGGGGTTTTATAAATATAAGAACTCCCTCTCCTACGAAAGCTGGTGCAGCACAATCAAATGGGGTGAAATGGCAGAATAAATGTGCCTGGCAAGATCTGAACTTGTTGTTCTTTATGTACAGTGATGTCACGTGACATCTTTAGGAAGCTTTGATGCCCTGTCCTTCTCTAGATTGTGGCACATTCGGGGCACAGGGAGGTTGAAGCTCTCCTTTTATTTTCTGGATTTTTGAAACATAAAGGCCAGATTTTCCCACCGCTGAATACAGTGCTGTTAATTCCCTTTGGAATTCGCTTCCCTCATTCTGTGAGGTTACCATGATAACTTCTCAGGGCTTCACAGGTATTTTCTTTTTCTCATAACCCAGAGTGAGAAATTGTTCTGGAGGACTGGAGCATAACATTAGATGTACTTGATCTTCAAATGTACACAATTTCAACCAAGTCTAACCTGATTTTTCAGAATATTTAGCAGTAGTTCTTAGTGGTTTGCCTTTTGTTACAAGAATGGGTTCCAGTTGACTTTTTTTCTTCTTGCAACACTTCGCTCTTTTCTTAAAGTGACATGTGTGCTCATTGTGAGTTTTAAGGTAGGTAAAGGTAGAAATCTGATCTTTTTCCCCTCTGTGGGATAAACTTTTTTTCATTGTTCCTTCAAGTGATCAAACTGTGCCAAAGCTCCCAAGTCTGCTGCTTGTGACTGTGGCTGAGCAGGGCAGAGATTCAAAGAGCTGAGAACAGAGACCTCTTAAACTCCATTTTACCCTCCAGCTATTGTGTTATTGGTGTGAATAGAATAACTGGAAAATCTCCAGAAATTAAGATTCTTTGTTGGAGAAAAGCCTGCAGTTACTGTTGCTAAATAGCTACCTTAGCTTGTTGTGCATGGTCTGTTAATGTAATTACAAATTAAATCACATTTAATTTGTATTAAAATCCTCTTTTGATATAAAAGTACGACTTTCTTAGTGTGGCATTTTCTTTATCCCAAGAAAATGCTGATTCTTTTCATCTGGGCAGGTTTTAATGTCCCTTCTGCCTGGGAAAAGCTCTGAAATCCCAGGTTTGTTTATGCACACCCCCACCCCAAACATTAACATACATATATGTAGGTATAGCCATATATAATGGGACATTTCTCTGTGTGTGTCTGAGCTTAGGAAACAAAACTCAGACGGCATGGGGAGCTTATCCCTAATTTTGACCCCTTGTTAAAGGGTTTTACACAAAACCTTATTTTTACTTTTGTCATAACTATGGTAATTAATTAATACAAAATAGAATGTTTGCCTTTCAAGTTGTATTTCTAAGGAGAATATGGATAGGAAAATAGATGAATGTTAAGGATAGGGAGTGGTGGGGTTTTGGTATTAAATATTTGTTATAAGAAAGCGATTAAATTTGATGGATTATTTGTTGAAGACTGCAATAAGATTTATGTTAATGGATAAATATGAGTAAACTTGAGTGATGGCAGCCTTGGCAGTTGTTCAGACAGCCTGTAATGCAATATATTGTGAAATTAGTTGCTGTGATAAAATATTTTCCAAATTAATTACAGTGTGAGAGGAGGAAGCTTTGGGTGCTGGGTGAGAAACAGAAGTTAACTCAGTGCTCCAAGTTTCCTTTGGAACAAGGCTCTTAGAACTCCAGGGAATCCTTCTGAACTCACTAACTTGAAGATTTTGAAAGAAATCTGATGGAGAGACTGCTGACTTCTTGGTTCTCCATAAAGAATGCCACTAAAGACTTAAGAAGATTTCCCTTGAATGGGTTCATTGCTCCAGCTTGTAATCATCATATTTTATAGTTTTCCCAAAACTCCACTGTCTGTAAAGAAAGGAAAAGACTAAACCCTGCTCTAGGAGCTCCAAAACCCAAAGGAAGACTCCAGCCTGTTGTGATCCATGGTGGCAGGTGGCACATGGACAGATGTCATCCATGGGCTCAGCACTGGGAATATCCTCCTGCTCTTCCAGCTGGATTGGCTCCATGGACTCCCAAGTCAGTGGTGTTTCTGCCAGGAATGTGGAGAATGCTGAGGGAAGTGGAAGGAAGCAGGGAAGGCTCTGAAGTGTGAAGTTATTGGAATAAATCTTAGGCCCTTTATGGAAAACTTCCTAAAGTAAAATCTCCAACATTGCTTGGTACAAAAGGTTAGAATGGAGGTGTTACATTCAGGCTGAGTAGCTCTTCAGGTTTGAGCCAACTTGGAGCCTTTCTTACCTAGTGAATATTTCTTATTTCAGGCTCCAGTCTGGCTGAGGATCCTGCTGTGTGAAGGGTCTGTTCTTCAGCAAGTGCAGGAGTCCCTTTGTGCTTTTGACAATTCCTAACTTGGAAAGGAAAGTTCCAGGTGGCTGTCCAGGTGGATTTGTCCCCAGAGCTTGGGACACAGGCACAGAGAAGTGTCTGGAAGGTGATCTGCTCTGAACACTGTGCAGTGTGTGGATCAGTATGTGTTCCAACAGCATATATTGTATTTTCATTTATATTGGGACATGTCTGTGGGAGAAGGAACAAATGGAGGTGCCACGGGCTCTGAAAAACCTGCAGTAGATGAGATGGTTCATCTGAAACTAAGCCTTTGACAGGACTTGAGCAGTAACAGTTTAATGTCTGTAAAGTCCAGCAAGCTCTGCAGCAGGTTTCTGCTGTTCAGTTTAGCAAAATTTCATGTAATTGAAAAATTGCTGCAGAAACATGGTTGTACATGTAACACTTCCCTGCAGTGAGGGGATGACAGCTGAGGACACTTGTGCCATGTTCATTTCTGCTCTGCTGGCTGTGCTCACGTGAAGTCTGTGATTGTAGGATCACATCCACATCCCTAATGCAGGGTTTTCCTTCATGCTTCCCACAAATGTGTGAGATTCCCATTATTACACATTTCTTTTTGCAGGATTCTGAGTGATTGGTACCAAGTGAATTATTCTTGCCCAGCTCAGGAAAGGTTAGCATAGCAGAGTAATTATGGAGATTTTTCTGGTAGTAGATCCCACAAAATAATCTAATTTACTGTCTAATTTTATCTGCTGTACTTACTGAGACAGCAAATAGATTATAAGATGTTTGGGGAATAGTAATTTAAAAGAAGGAAGAAAAGCCCAAACCTCAGGGTATAAGTGACAGTTTGACTACAGTAAATTAATCAAGGCTCACTATATTTTGTGATAATGAAACACAAAGAGCCTGTGAGTGAGGCATCCAGAGTAGCTCAGTAATTGTGTGTTATGGGGGTGCAAGTGAGGACTGCACGGAATGCATATAAAAGGCTGGAATTTGATTTTACTCTTCCCTGACATCTGAGTGATCAATCTTTGTTGTTTTTAATGACACTTCAAATTATGTTATCACCTTTATATTAAGCTGATTCTTTGTCTCCAGTGTCTGAAATCCGATTGCCTTACTCTTTTGTGAAAATGCATCATTGTCCTTACAAAATTAAGATGTTTTGCTATGTTATAAAAGCAGCTTTGCTTTAAGACCAGAATTTTTCCACAGCTGATTCATACAGAGGGAATCACCAAGGAGTCTGGCAGATTAATTGTTTTCTTCCATTAAACTTCCACTAAATCACCTATTGGGAAATTGAGTTCAACTCTGGGTTTTCTGGAGGAAAATAATCAAAGGGAATAAAAACATGGCACATGTTGAGATGGCTGAACAGTAGAATTCCCACAAATATTCTGATGCTGCAAGTAGTTTGTGAGATCCCCTAGGACAAGCTAAAGTGACAAGGAGGAATAGTTTTAATAGTTTTAGTAACATCTTAGCTGCTGTCAGTAACTTTTCCAGAGGCTGGCGGTGGGAAAGGAGCACCCTAAAGCACGTGTTGCTTTTAGAGTGTAACAATGGATCTCCTGGAAAAGGCATTAATGTCCTCAAAATGCCACGGACATGCTCATGGCCTTTGATCATTCCTTCAGGATGTGACAGTGGCAGTTCTTGGGGCACAGCTCCTTCCCTGCTCCATGTCCCGCTGTCCCTGGCAGATCCAGCTCTCTGCTTTCATCCCAGCCCTCAGCACATTCTCTGCTGCAAGAACAAAAAGTCAAAGCGACTCTTTTACATAATAAAAGAAGGTTGAAATTTTCACGGATGGATGTGTCAAGGTCCAGGCTTGTCTTACTCTGGTGTTTTTCTTTAGGCCTGGTTTTAGAGCCTGTCTGACAGTGCCATTCCCACGCAAGCCTGGGACATTTTTCCCAGCATTTGGGAAGCTCTTAATATGATTTTTTTAAACTCATATCTTCACTCAATTTCCTTGCACTTCTTCCATGCCAGCCTTTCTGTAGTCCTGGTGTTTCTCATGGGAGCAGTATGGCGTTCCTTCCAGATCACCTGGACAGGGACATCTCTTTGGATGCTCTTAACACTTAATGCCAGTTATGGTTTTGTTTGCTCTGCTTTTAAATGTAATAACCAGAAATTTGATCAGCAGTTGCAGTAGGACCATAAATCAACATTTATCTGAGAAATAATAGTGAGATGAGGCAAAACTCTGTGTCCCAACAATTTACCTGTCCAGGCAGGTCAGGATTGGTCCTACTGATGTAATTCTAGGAAAACTTTCAAATGGAGAAAGCACTGAGGTTGATTTTTGTCCATTGGCCATTCCAAATAGACACCAAAAAAGGCAGTTGTTGTAATATTCATATATTGACAGAATTCAGTCCCTTTCTGCCCTTGAGAGTGGCAGGCAGGAAGCCACCAGGTTCCCTTCCCTTTCCCCAGAATCTTCCTTTTCCAGCTGCAAATAAGAATGGCTCTGGGTCAGCATCCAGGCACAACTGTTTGTCCTGGCTTGGGGTTTTTGGCATTTTATTGGAAAGTTTATTTGGTATTTCATGTGGGAACTTGGAGTATTGAAGGAACTTGAAAAAATCATGTGCAAATTTATATCAGTGAAGGGCAGTGATGGCTGCACTGGAGGAGCGTGTGGCTGGAGGCTGAGGGTGCCACCTTTATCTGCCCCATTTAGCAGCAAAAGCAGACAGATTGTAAGGGCTGGGTTAGAGACCCTTCCCTGCCCTTTGCAGGTCAGAAGGGGAGGTTCTGTCCAGACCTGTTGTCACCTGATGAATCTGTGTTTTGAATTTCTTATAACCTGTGTCTTATTCTGAAGTATTTCATCTCTCAGGGATGGCTTACCTTTTCACAGAAATTCAGTTCCTGTGCATTGTACAACGTGCACTGCTGTCCTTGTGCTGTAAAGGCACAGTCTGCTGTTGTACTTCCCTCAGCTTTCCAAGCAGTCAGTCATTCCAGCTGGATCTGCAAGTGCCTTTTTCTTAATTATGTGATTACAATACCTCATTTTTCTTCAGTTCTGGCTGCTCTTGACTAAATACCTTGGATCACATTTAATTAAGAATAAGTGAAGCTGCAAGTGCAAAAAGATGAGCTGCTCTTGTTGAATTGATAGGGTTGAACTTAATTTTCAGTCTGGGATGTGATAGTGTGATTATAACTCCTCTGTGTCCCACACTGGGGTGGTGTCATGGTCATGGAATGACCATGTCCTTGTGTGTGCAGGTCTGGCCAGGGTATCCCAGGGATCTGGGTTATGGCTGAGGCCATGTCCACGGAGTGACCCTGTCCCTGTGCGTGCAGGTGTGAGGCCATGTCCATGGAGTGACCCATGGAATGACCCTGTCCATGTGTGTCCCTGTGTGTGCAGGTGTGAGGCCATGTCCATGGAGTGACCCTGTCCCTGTGTGTGCAGGTGTGAGCACATGTCCCTGCAATGTCCCTGGTGTGACTCTGTCCCCTGTGTGCAGGTGTGAGGCCATGTCCCTGCAGTGTCCCTGGAGTGACCCTGTCCCCTGTGTCCCTGTGTGCAGGTGTGAGGCCATGTCCCTGCAGTGTCCCTGGAGTGACCCTGTCCCCTGTGTCCCTGTGTGCAGGTCTGGCCGGTTCCAGCTGCTGCCTGGGGGGGTGCTGGAGATCCGGGACGTGGCCGAGGCCGACGCCGGGACCTTCACCTGCATCGCTGAGAGTGGCAACGACACCCTGGAGGCTCAGGCAGAGCTGGCAGTCCAAGGTGGGTCAGAGGTCTTCATTTTCACAGAGAGCACTTCTCTGCATGACTAAATGTGGTATTTTTGGGGTGCCCGGACGGAGGAGGAAGGAATGAATCTGACTGCATGTTCTTAGAAGGCGAATTTATTATTTTATGTTACTGTATTATATTAAAGAATGCTGTACTGAACTATACTAAAGCATACAGAAAGGATACAGACAGGAGGCTACAAAGAATCATAATAATAACTCCTGACCCCTTCCAGAGTCCTGGCACAGCCTGACTGTGATTGGTCATTAAGTTAAAACAAGTCACATGAAACCAATCAAGCATGCACCCGTTGGTAAACAATCTCCAAACATATTCCACAGCAGCAAAACACAGCAGAAGCAAATCAGATAATTATTGTTGTCATTTTTCTCTGAGGCGTCTCAGCTTCCCAGGAGAAGAATCCTGGGCAAAGAGATTTTTCAGAAAATATGACAGTGGCAACTAAATACCTAAATATCTAAGTTTATTCTGTGGTCGGTTCTGTGCCCCACTAAAAACCGAGCTCCCTCCAGTACTGTTTTAAATATTGTTACTCTGATTTATTATCCAAACTGCTTATGATTTCCTAAATAGCCAAATGAGCAATGTGCTTATATAATACAGCCTGAGGGTGCTTAAAAGCTGCTCTGTTTGCTCCTATAGTATTAAATGTGGTTGATGGCACATACTTGAAGGTGGGTCAAGGCCAGTGTGGCTGATCCCATCTGAAAGTCAGCCTGTGGTACTGCACCCTGGCTGTCTTTGGAAAGGACATCTCTAGTGCATTTTTCATAATCCTTAAATGCATTGTTGTTTTCAACGAGCTTGTGAGAAGATAAAAGCAGAGATATTTCGTAATATGCTGGTTTATTGTGTGTGTAACTGTTTTCTTACTGTTAAAAGCTATTTTTACTAGAAAAAGTACTGAAATATTGATAATGTAGTTTTAGAAAGCATCTTACTATACATAAAAAAGTAAACAAAGCAGACTGGGTAATCAAAGAAAATAGACTTAGTAAGGAGTGGGAAAAAATACAGGTAAAAGCTTGCCTTCCTTGCCTTTCTTATATTCCATGAGGAAATCTCTTTCACTGATTGGACCCTAGTAGGGGTTTCCAGTTCTTTCTCTGGAGTTTCATGGCATATGCAGGATCCTTGTAAGAGCTTACCTGGCTTGGTTTACTGTGGACTGTGGTGCTACAAAGTTGATCTAAAAAGTTATTCTGAGGGGAGAAATTTATTCACTGAACATCCGTACATGAAGGGTTTTCTATAAACAAAAGGAAGGGTTTTTTGACAAAAAGGAAGTGCTCAGGCTCTATCTGGTCATGCAGAAAACCTCACATTTTTCTTACCTTGTATCTTGGCCAAAAGAATAAAGATTTGGTGTTCTGGCTTTGGAAATGCCTCCAAGCCTGAGGCTTCAGAACACTTTATGATGGCTTCAGACAGTTCATGTGTGCTGTGTTTAATTCAGTTCCAGCCTCTCTATTTTACAGAATTCATCTTGTGTTTTATGGGCAGTGACAGCAATTAATAACGTTAATGATATGATGCAATTAAGCAGGTTGTGGATAAAGCTGAGAGGAGCCTTAGTGCAGGACATCCAGCTAGGTCACCTGGGATGCAAGTGAACTCAGACAACTCTTGCTCCTTATCTGAGCCATTGTAAAGGATTTCTTCATTTGATTGTGAAGATTTAGAATGTTCTGCCAGACCTTGCATGCTGATATTTTGTTACATACCTGGCACTGGAAAGAAAATCCTTTATGCTTGAGTATTAAAATATATTAAAGGTTCTACAGAGTGCGTTTCAGATAGTGACATTTCCTTTTTTTTAACTTTTTTTACTTCTTAGTTCTAATCTTAATTCTACTTTCCTTGAGAGGTCACTGCAGGGAGTAATTGTATTTCTGCATTACTGTACTTTGGTGCAGGGGTGAATAGCTTGAATAACTGTTACCTGATCCCTGGATCATTTTCTTCTAGACCAAAGAAATTGTCATCTCTCCCCATCTAATAACAGCATGATTGTGCTTAATTTAAGTTCTTTCTGCCATTCTTAGAAATTAGTCTGGCAGCATTTCAGACAAGGAATTCATTTTTTGGGTACTGTGTTTTTCTGCAGCTCTCCTTGAAGCACTTGTTTTTTCTAAGAGGTTTCACTCCATGCTGGGGGTTGTGCTCAGGCAGCCAATCTTTTTCCTTCTAATAAAATTTCCTCAAGGCAGTTTAGACATGGAATTCTGTGCCAAGGGGGTGATGCCATTGCTTGGCAGTGGAATTCAGAGGTGTTCCTGTGGCTGCCTCTTGACTGAGGTTTCCTGGCAGTGCCAGGTATGGGCTGACTGAAATTCAGGCAGAAACAACCTGCTTTATCCACTTGTAGGTTTGACTTGTGCATGGACTCAGAGGAATGCACTTAAAGATCCCTTTGCTCCATGATCAGCTTTTATGTGTCCTCTGACAAGGTTACAAAACCCTGCGAGCAAATGAGTGTCTCTGGTATGGTGCTGGCCACTGGAATTCTCCTTCCATGGCAGTGGGGATGAAATCCTGGCCATCCCTGGGGGGAGGGTGCCCTCAGGTGTGTCACACTGGGGCTGTGCTCAGCTGGCAGGAAAATACCTGAGTTTTACCCTGGGTTTGTGTAAGGTACGAGGGAGGGGTTGGAGAAAGCTTATTCCAGCCTGTGTGGGACTGTACAGCCACCAGGCTTGGGAGCTCCTGGGGTGCTTTCTGTTACTTTTGGCACCATTTTCAGTTGGGATAAGTGGTACCTTCAGTGCACTTACTCAGATCCTATTGGTGACACTTAAGGATATCACCAGTTCACATACCTGAAAATAGTTGAATCCCTGTGTCATAAATTAAAGGTGCTAGAGGAGCCTTCTATTGCCCTAATGCTGGGTTTAAAAAATGATTGGGATTTGTTTCCCTACATACATTCCAGAAGGACTGAATCAGGAAAATGGCCTTTAACTTGACTAGAAAGGAGCCAAGAGTCCAGAAGAATTCTACACAAATTTCTGTCCTCAGTCTCTTTATGTGCATTGTGCATCTGGGAGGTAGAGTCAAGAGATTTCCTTACATTTGGAAGGGAATTTTGGCTGCCCTATTCCTGGAAGTGTTCCAGGCCAGGTTGCACAGGGCTTGGCACAAGCTGGACTTGTGGAAGGTGTCCCTGCCATGGCAGGGGGTAGGTGTGATGACCTGTCAGGTGCCTCCCAGCCCAAACCATTCAGTGATTCTATCTGCAAACTGGAGACTTGATGGACTGGTCACACACTGAACCTTTGCCTGGTGCATCTGGGAAATTACTTCATGTGGGAGAGAGCAGGGAATGTCCCAGGGAAAGCTGTGGCTCAGAGAGTGTCAGCCCCTAAAGCTGGACACTGCTGAATCCTGCCCACACTTAGAGCAGGACCAAACACTGAATGGACAAAATATGGGCAGCTTTGTACCCAGAGCGTCACAGAACGTGGAAAAGGGACCTCCTCAGTTTTCCTGGGGTGCCAAAGCAGAGGTCACTGTGGGAAATGGATTTGTAGGGAATTCTCACAGCCTGACAGAAGGCTCACACAGTGTGCATCTGTATGCAAACCTTGAGATAAGAAATGCTGACTGAGAAATGCCATGGAATAGGACAGACATTGTTGAGAGAGAAATGGAACTAGGAACAAGTTTCAAAGGATGGCTTTGCAAATAAGACCAGATACTTTAGGGAACTAGAACTATGGAAGTTGCATTGTAATGGGACCCACAAAGGGTAATTTTAGATGATTGGCTTTAAGGCATTTACAGCATGGTGTGAGAAAAGCTGATAGGCCAAGAAACACTTATAATGCAATTAGAAAATAGTTGGCTTCTGATTGCAATGGCATGAATTATAACATCTGCATTGTCTCACCCTTCTCATGAGACTGAAAATGGAATAAAAGTTTTTAAAACAACTCTCAGTTGCCCCATCTCTGGGTCAGAAAAGAGCTTAATCCAACAGGTCACCACAGTCCAGGTCAAACAGGGGCAGGACACTTCCATGGTGGAGGCAAGAATTTGGAGCCTGAAAAGTCACCTCTGTCTTGGCTGTAGTGACAGTGCTCTCCCCTCACTGTGGGTGCTGCTGCCAGGTTATTTACAACACCTGTAATGAACTGAGAGCACTGGAAAAATTTGTTTTGCTCTCCCCAGGCATGAAAGAATCTGTAACATTTCCCTCAGATAAGATTGGGCAGTGATGACAGCAGAGCTGGGGAAACAGGTAGTTACTGTATTTAATCTGCTCAGCCTGGAAGAGCCAGAGTGGCAGTTAAATACTGGGAAGGTCACAAGTTCAGCCTTCATCTGGGCAATATTTCAAATTTATGGCTGTGCCCAGTGCCCTGGGGGTTTGTGCAGAGGCTGGGGCTGAGTGAGGTCACCACAGGGGCTTCCTGTGGCCTGCCTTGGTGCCGGGGTGGGAACCTGCAGCTTGGGGGACTTTCTCTCTCGGTTGAAATATTTACTGCAGTTAATAATGAACCAGAAAAATCATAAACCAAAAAAAATTTCCATTTTCATTCTCCTGTAAAATTGACATGGCAAGTTTGAAGCCTCTAAAATGAGTAAGTCCATGTGTTTGTGGGAGAAGAGTGAGAGTTGCTCTTTGCTGTTGCTTGCTATTGCCTTTCAGTGAGTTTTTGGAATAGCAGAAAGTCAACTTCTGAGTTGTGTAGGACAGCATTCAGTGTCTGATAGTGTATCTTAAGTATTATGCATGAAATGTCTCACTGTGTTAATGTAACTAAATTTAAAAATAAAACAAGAGAAGCTTCTTTTGGGGTATCTGTAGTGATAAATCAGAGATTGCATGTGGCAACTGGCTGATCACAGCCTCGTTTGTGCTGCCAGAGCAAATTGTATGGAAAAAACCAAATGCAGAAATGTTTTGATGGAATTGTCCACTTTGTGCTTTAGAAGGAAATGCTGGAAATATTTTCAGTAGAGCTGAC